GCCAGGTATTGAACTCACACTCTTTGAGTCCTGTCAAGGACACATGGCACAGTGGATAAAGGCGTTGGTTAGATCCAGTGACAGGACCTCTTCCTTATTCTCTCGTAATCTTGGATGTGCGGGTGGTATAAAGAGCTTACAGAACTATTCACGTTGAAACACCGCTTCTCGCGTGATCAACATAGTTAAGCAACGTCGAGTCTGGTCAAGGTGACCACTTGGGAATAACGGGTGCTGTAAGCTTGGATGTATGGGTGGTAAAATGGATAACGACTCAGAATTGGAATTCGGAGAGCCGAGTTCCAATTCCAGTCGGTTTCATTATATCAACTTCCGCGCAAATACCCTTGGGAAAGTTATATATCCACCTCTTGCCCCCAGCTATGGGTTAATTATTAGAACTTTTATTAGTAAATCATTATTAGCTCCTAAATATTCTTACAACCTAAAAATATTTTCTGGCTTTAAATAACCTGAAAAGCTCGATAAACCGTAAAAAAATCAATGGATTAATCAATTTTGCAGAATTTGCTGTGTAATTATTAATGGGAATGAAAGTTCTGACATGTTCGTTTAATCAATAGCATTTGTGGTATCATTAATTATAAGTCTTATTTATGATATCAGGGGTAATAGCTTTTACCTGTGATATTATGGATTATAAATCCCTTACGTGATATCAAAGGTCTCTTTCGTTATACATTAACAATTAACCTGTTTGTAACATTCACTTCCGAAGAATCTCGTGAAAGCGCCTTCATAAAACATTTCACTCGTTCCCATTTAATGCACGCACAGGAAACAACACCTACATCTTGGTATGCGAAAAGGTAAATTAAAAATAGAAACGTTTCCATCCTTTCCGCTAATTAGGAACCTGTCTGAAGTGTGACCTTTCAGGTCAGAGTTCATTTGCAGCAAATTGCGCATGACTCCCATGGACCAATCAGAAACGTCAAACCAATAAATTAAGAACTATGAAGTCAGATTAAAAAAAATTCAAAACGCCTTGGGAATATTTTGCTAAAAGAAAACATCGGACAAATTAATTACCCATCATAAGTAAATGCAGCAAAAAAAAAAAAAAAAAAGAAAGAAAAAAAAAGATCAGTTTGTCCAATATGAAATTACCGAGTTCTTCAATGTAAACTCGAATATATTCATCTGATGAATGTAATAATGCAACAACCCTTGGCTTTTTTTACATTCATTTCACCGTGGCAGCACGTCATCTGAAGCAGTCTTCATTCAAAGAACCAATAAATTAATTGAAACTTCTGAAATTTGACCCTGATTAAAAAAAAAAATCTCTTTCACGTAAGGAATTACAAATGTCTATTATTCGTAAAAGAACGATATCTAGTGAAGTGGTAGATTGCAATAAAATATATTTGACTAATTCAATATTATGTGTAGTATTTTAACAGAAGATGAAAAATGCTGCACCGAAATTCAAACGCGTATTGGCATAGCGGAAGATGCATTCCAAAAGCTAAGCAAAGTATTATGAAACGGGAAAATTTCTTTAGAAACAAAGAATGTATTAGATTAGTATACATTAGTATTACATAGAAATTCTTAGGACGATTTTCTTACAGATGAAGAGAAAACTAGAGGCAACCGAAATGTGGTTCTACAGCTGCAATTACTTTGACACATCCTCGTCGCCAATGTGTTGTAGAGTAGTTTTCACAGTGGAGGCTTGTATTTCGCTAAGTCGGTCCTAAAAGGGTCCGACGTACAAAACGTTAGGAACTTGAAATAAGAGTTAATAATGCAGCAATCTAGTTGTGATGGTTGATACTTCAATGTCCGACATCGACTGACTCACTCAACTCCACTGAGCTCAACTGACCACTGATACTACTACTTATTATCTGTGGGAGAGTCTATTACAATAGAATAGGTAATGTTCTGGTATAACAGACACATAAATGAGGAAGCAGGGTTCGAAGAATTTGACACTCACAGAGCATATCGAAGGCAAGAGAGGACAGATGAAGGCAGCGTTCCATCCTCCTGACGGGCTTGTGTGTATCGATAGCGGAACGGAGGAGTGGGAAGCTAGCAACAGATCAGACGTTGATACGGAATACAGGCGATAGGAGGTTGTGGAGAGCCATGATTGCACACGAATTGTGCAGTCTGAAGGCAGGCATTACCATGCAGTTAAAAAACGCTTTTTTTTTGTTGACGTTGTTTAGTTCAATTTTCAATATTTACTTATGCCTACGACATGGACTGTAGAAACGGCGGAGTTCGAACTTCAGTTGAAATACCATTTGGGAAGGCATGAATCTATATCCCTGCACTTTGACCTTTAGTAGATATCTTGACAAAAATATCTCGTCAATTGCATGGTTGATGAGGCAGAGAGGGACTAAATGAGCATAATGCTACACTATTATTCAATAGTTATTTTATAGCCGAATGTATTAGTAACAGTAAAATTAAATGCTGATACACTGACTGTCAACCATGAAAAAGGCATACGTCCGCACAGAAGCACACGTACACATAGACGGAAAATAAAATTACAACAAAGGAAGTATGTTAAATCTAAATCATGATTAAACGAATAGGTCGATATGAGTGCGACACAGCGGTTATTGGCGTCATAAGTAGAATCAGCGTTCCCAGTTCAAATTCCAGCCGAAATCATTGCAATCATTTTTTGCGTACCCTGCAAAGGCCGAGATCATTGCATTCTTTTTTGCGTACCCTGGAAAAGCCGAGTTCACTGTTTTCATTTTTGCGTACCCCGGAAAGGCCGAATTCATTGCGTTCATTTTTGCATAGCCTGGAAAGGCCGAGTTCATTGTGTTCATTTTTGCATAGCCTGGAAAGGCCGAGTTCATTGCGTTCATTTTTGCATACCCTGGAAAGGCTGAGATCACTGGGTGCTCCATACTGGCGGTTTTGTGTTGCATCTGAGCTACGATTAGTAAGTTTCCATATGTATGATTTCTGGCAGGACTTCAGCAAGTATGGTGACTGCTAGCGAGTACTTTCTCTACAGGATATTAAAAAATTACTGTCGATTCTTCTATGTGTTCTCTCTTTTCAGGACGTGGGCGATTATAGCTCTCCACATCTCCCTGTCCTTCCTGGCCCTTAACAGCATTTTACCCTTTTTCAATCCTTGCACTTCCTGTTCTATCATCTATTCTCACAAACTCGTCAATAGGTGTAGCCGCTTGCCTTCCCCTATCTCTCTTGCCCTCAATCTGTCCCGTGAGGGTCAGGTTTTCTAAGCCCTCCTTCCTTATTATATCTCCCAGAAATTTCAGATTGCACATTCTGATTCTGAGTATACGTGTTCTTTTTCTTTAAGACGGCCTCGTTGCTTACGTGCTCTGTCCATGGAATTCTCAGTATCCTTCTGTAGAACGACCTTTCTGTTGTCTCGATTTTTCTCATCGATGGGAAGAATATCCAGCGCTCATTGCCACACAAGAGGACTGATATCACATAGCAATTCAGCACGCTTTTCTGTGTTTCTAACGAATTAGAAGCACAACAAAGCATGCCAAAATGAAAAGAAATGTCTTAGGATTCAAATCTAGTTTTCAAAATAGTTTCTTGCTCAATTGTAATAACCCACTTTTAAAATTAAAACATGCATGCACACTTAATTTTTTTGCATAGTTCGCAGTAATTCACTCTCCCCTGTCATATCTATTTTTTCTTCCTGAACTAACTTATTATTTATTCACTTTTTGTCTATCCTTGTCTTAATATCGTTATTTCTCATAGAATTGTTCATTTTGATTATCAAGTGTCCTCAGCGCAACGATATCCATATTATCACATCTATAATTTTTTTCTGTAGTTCTTTCAAGTTTTGGGTAAGGTAACAGTTACAAGAAGTATGTTTATTTTATTTCTTGTTTCGAAATATCAAAGATTGATTTCTGTACGTTTATTTACTAATTCCTCTTCTTTTATTCGTACGCTTCTCCACTGACCCTTCTCACTCCTGCGCCACCTAACCTGAGATTGAAACCCGAATTTCCGAGGCAAAAGTCAAAACTGCGCTACAAACTAGTTTTTCTTCACATAGGCCTATCTCGCAGATTCACTAAATAATCAAAACACACCGTCTTGGGAATATCAGAAATTATTTGGAATTCAGGGCATCCAGTTCTACCAATACCGATTTGACAGGTATTTGTGTATCATTATCGTTGAACAGACGAAGAAGAATACGGCATTACGGAAAGGGCATGACCTAACTTTATTCCGAGTCTTGTTTGTCGCGAAATATCTTATTAAGCACATCTCACTGACTGACAGAATAGTTAGTAAGTGAATGCTTAGGGAAACCATTCTCCTGCAATTAAACTAGCCAAACTCTAGTAGCCAATGGCTGTTACTCCCACTTTAATAACAACACGCGTGATCTAGTAAATAACACGAGACTTCGATCATTCATATTTTATATTACAATTTACTCTGATCCAAAATCCTCGCCCAGTGTGTGATGCGATCCCCAGAATACGTGGGATCTGACATTCTTATATGCGATGTATGAGAGATTGCCACTTTGGACCGGTTGTTTATACAGTCGTCTGTCCAACGGTTTTTCTCATGTTCGTAATTATCATGGAGAGCCTTGCCCACATGTGTTCACCTCTTGGAATCACCACTAGCAACACGTGATTCCCGGATCTCCATTTACAGTTGCGGTAATCTCATGTCAACTCTGCATCTGGATTCTTTAGTCTGGTGTGAAATGAAGTGCAAAACCTATTCAAGGATAATTGTAAAATAACGTTAGTAATTATCAGTCAGTCATTTACTCTCTTAGTTTCAAATGGTTAATTAAAAAAATAGCATAAAGCTAACATTTTCCACGTTTAGTTCCGACTAACGAATAATCACAATTACATGCAACATTTAATATAATTTCAAATTATTTTTTTTCTTTTTGGTTTTCACTTCGGAGTCATTTTAAAAACGAATAAGAATATTAAATGAAACACTACGAGAGAAAAGAATCAGGATGGAGAGAGAGAGAGAGAGAGAGAGAGAGAGAGAGAGAGAGAGAGAGAGAGAAGAAAAAGGATTGAAGGAAAAAAATTAGAAATGTTTAATTCCCAACCAACAAAATTATCGTCTGCGACACGCAAACTGGCAAGTGTAGGTTAAGATGGCGCCCGGCTTAGTTAGTGGAGGCGCGAGAATTCACGGTGATGTTATCATTGCTTCTAAAAGAGTAATAGAACTCATGCTTAGCAAGTTGCATGATAACATGAAAAGAAAAACAGACTCAAAATTCAGCAAAACTTCAGAAAGAGGATGGCGTCTGTTTTTGGTTTTAATTATGATACATAACGTCAGCCTGCATTCTGTTGACTGCCATTCTCTATCCGCGCCCCTTAAAGCAATGGTGCACACAAAGTAATTCATCATCTAGGAAAGAATGTCAATGTCCGTTATGCACCTATTGGCTTAACTTTACCGATGAATATTAGATGATTGTGAGGGCTAGATTCCAAGCGCTCCGGCTATGCAGTATTTAGAAGGATGTTGTTGGTATGGTTTATGGAGATGAGGATATTCATGCTATGATATGTGTGAAGGAAAGTTCTAAATTACCTTTAATAGAAAAATGAGATATCTTGAGGCGCCATTTGTAGAAACTGGCCGACATGTCCTTCCCTGTATGTGATGAGTAACAAACCTGTATTTTTTCCACAGAAACGAGGTTATCGTTTGTCTGCAAAGAGAAACTCCAGAGACATCGAAATTTGAAATCAAATTTCGATTTTTTAACTAATGCGAGCCCTCAAAAAGCACGCTTTATTTTTCTGCCACTTGCAGACGATCTTTTGAAAAGTTGACAGATCAAATTATTGCAAAATGTTAGTGTTTGTTTCCGTTTTAAATTATTGAATAAAATAAAATAACATAATTTTTTAACGAATGATGTTAGATGTTGTTGTGGAGTGATTTCACAGTGGAGATTTGTATTTGTACTAAGTCGGTCCTAAAATAGGTTCGACGTACAAAACGTTAGGAACTTGATATAATAGGTATAACGCAGGGTAATCTAGTTGTGGTCGCTGATACTTTAGTATCCGACAAACGGTCGTCCGGCATTGACTAACTGACCGACGGTAATTAGTCACCCCACCCCACGAGGGCATCATGTGGAACAAAAAAAAAAAAATTTCCCTTTTAAAACCCGTATAAACGGGTTCAGAGTCGATTTACCTCCCCGAAAGAGAATCCGCCCTTCGGCGTAGCCTCTTTCGGGATCCTCCCCGCCGGACGGCAGAGAGTTCAACCGATCAGCCAGTCGACTGACTGACCAACCCCCTCGTTACTCTTACTACTCCTACCTATTATAGGTGGGAGAGTCTATTAACTATGGAATAGGTGTGTTCCACTATAACAGATCTAAATTTTAATTTTTTTGTCCAGTTTTGAGTCTATTATTTTTTATAAATTTCGAAAACCACTCCTAATTATACAGTAAATTTGGTAAAAATTTCGTACGTTTCGCAACGTTATCGATTCCTTATTTTCAACATTACTCAAAACTGAACATCTATACGAATCTTATATTTTATTCTTTTCATTTTGTTGTCAATATTATTTGTATTATTGTATTATCTTCAGTTAAATTTATCTTATTATTCTGCATTACATTTTACACTGTTGCTACAAACTACTGCTGATAACTACACATATACACTTTCAACATAAACATAATATCGCGTATTAAAAATTCACATGCAAAAAAAGAGAATTTTATAAATACACACAAAGATACAAGTGAAAAACTATTTCACATTTGGATCGTCAAATGAATGACGATATTTCATATCTTCTTTCGATTTTGTCACAAGTCTAATCTGTTTTAGAACATTTCTAAATATAAATAAAATTTTAGAAGATTTTCATTATTCATTTTTCGACAATTTTATGCCTCTACAAAACTTGATACTCTTCTATAGAAATGACAGAAAATGATGAAATAAATTCAAAATCTGGATGGATAAAGTAAAGCCATACACTGTCTCAGCAAAAGCAAGTATTTCGCCTTTGTATTCCAAGTAAGGGAACTGACGTAATAAAACAAAGGAATTTCTCTGATCCAAACACGTTTGTGAATTTGATTTACTGGGCCATTTATATACACTTTATTATACTGCGGAGTAATGGATAGCGGCTCGGTTTGAGGAATCGGAGAGTCGAGTTCGAATTCCAGTCGAATTCTTAACATTCACTAATACCCGTCGAAAAGGTATGGACTCATCTCTTCCTTCTACATATGAGTAAAATAACAACATATTAAGTCCTGTAGCTTTGGTTGACAACTAGTCTGGGAAAACTTTGAATTTAAACCATCCTTGTGTGGTTTGGGCTGTCTTTCCCCAGAAACACTGCTGCTGATATGACTGTAGTAGATGTGGTACCCTTATGAGCATAAAGGGTTACGGGATTCGTGAAACTAGGCAATTGTTTCTCAACCAGAGATGAAAATGTATGAAAATATCACGGCACACTTGGCAACATTTTAAAAGAGTATGCATTTAAATGTTATAAAATAAAACCATAGATTTCTTAAAAAATACACACACAAATATGAACTTACTTTATTTCAATGTTTCTATTCAACTATTTTTGCAGTTTATTTAGTGTGAAACATGTGCCTAGTGTTTTTTCGCGATTTCTTTAATAGTGATTTTCCAAGTGTAGCTTAGATGTGGCACAAGATCGAAAGTCGTTACAGCCTAGGCTATATTTATGAGGTATTATTTTGATTAAACAAGCCATGATTACAATTAAACGAAAAATAATAGAAAAAAAACAAGCCCATAAAAACTTTATTATATCCAAAGGTAAGAAAACAAAATAAAAATCAAGCAATTATTACAATTGAGCAAAACAGTAGAGTTACCATTAAAATTTTATTCATCTTCAAATCCCTAAAATTCGTCGTCTTCGTTATCAAAACTCTGATACTCATTTTCAATACTACCATTATTGTTGTTAAATAATGCGTCATCTTCCGTTCCATTGAAAGCATTGCTAATGTCACACTTTTTCAGGACAATTTCTGCTCTAATATTATCCCAGGGTTGCTTCACCTATTCGCAGACTTTGTGTAATCCTGGGTCTTTTTATTATTTTTGTAATGTGTAAGTTCACGATCAGGTGTTGCCACCCACATGTTCCATTGCTTCTTCATGTTTAAGTCTAAGTTAATAGGAGTTGTCAGATAATTTCGTCCGACTATCGTGAATTTTAAACCTATGTATGGCATATAAGACGCAGGGGAATATTAAAAGACATTTTTAGTAAAAAAAAAAAAAAATGCGTCTTATATGCGGTCAAATAGGATGTTTAGCGGATGATTATTATTGCTGTTGTTGCTTGCCTTTGCTTTGTGCATTGCGAGTTATCCCCAACTCTCAACCAGAGACTTCAAGAGACAAGTTTCTTTTAGAAGAGGTAAACAGATGAAGTGCTATAAAATCAGAAACAAATAGAGGTACCGTATTTGACGGCATATAAGGCGCATTTTGTTTTTTACTAAAAATGTCTTTTAAAATACCCCTGCGTCTTATATGCCACATGTAGGTTTAAAATTCGCGATAGTCGGCCGAAATTAGCTACCTGGCAACTCTTATTAGCTTAGACTTTAGAGTAACTTTCATATACCTATTGTCATTATTTAAAAGGCTATTATGCAGATTAAAAATGTTTTAATATTCATTATATTAATTTCATCACATTTAATATTAGTACTTTGTTTCGCTAAAATTATATGAAATTAATTTAAATTATATATTTGTAAAACATATTTGTTACATTAATATTTTTCTTGCTATAACTTCCGGTTGCATTGGTATAAATACAATCAGAATTTTTATATCCTAATTATTCCAATAGGACGTTTACAAGAAGCAATTTAACCAATAAATAAAAATAACCTAGGCTGTACCATTTACTAATAATTTTACTAATTTTACTAATTTTACGAATTACTATTTTTTCTTGATTTGCTCTGCTGAAATTAGGGCGCGTCTTATATACCCGCGCGTCTTATATACCCGTGCGTCTTATATGCGATAACTGTGGTCACTTCATGGAGAGAAATCTACGCATGATGTGAGAAGTAGCCAAAAGTATGATTTATTGCGATTCTCATATTTTAGTTCGGCCAGGAATTTGATTCACAAGTTTCATGCCCTTTTGATATAATTCCCCAAACCCCAGTAACAATTAATAATGTTTTCGTTTTCTTTTTTTTTCCGACATGACAAAACTCGAACAATGACGTCTGGTACAGAAAGAGAAATAAAAAGTGAAAAGAGGATGAAAAATTGTAAAGCAAAAATGAATTTTATTGAGAAATAATGTTGAAATAAAAGGGGAGCAAAGGAATTTTTATCCTCAAATAATGGATATTTTTCTACATGCTTGTGTATCGATGAATGATCCGCTGATGGGGTCGATAGTTTATGTATTTGTACGCTTTCAGATCATTCCAAAAAAACCCAACAGACAAACCTCCTCCTTCTCCTCATCCTTACTATTATTATTATTATTATCATCATTCGATTTCTGCTATGGACACACTTTATTCTACCAAGTCTGCGGAAAGACCTAAGGCAGGTCGTGGTGTGTTGTTATGGCCACATTTCATGTTAATTTTTTTTTTTTTTTTTTTTTTATCTCCGATGAAGTTGCTATGTTACATAGACAAAGTTCTCCTTAGTGTGTGCTGTACTTAATAAGACAATTTTCTGTATGTCTCTTAAGCTGGGGTTTCAGGGATTCTTTCAATGTGTTGTTTTTGTTCCATTTTTATAATTCCAAGTGCACCTATTACCACTGGTATTATTCTTTGTTTTCAATTTCCATTTTTTTTTCTATTTCAATTTCCAGGTCTTTGTATTTTGATAGTTTTTTCAAATTCCTTGGTTGCTATGTTACAATCCGCTGGACAAATTATCAATTAGTAGGCATTTCTTTCTGGTTTTTTTGACAATAATGTCCGGCCTATTTGCTTCAATTTTTCTGTCTGTGTGGATGGTATAATCCCATAGAATGGTGACATCTTCTATTTCTGTAACCGGCGCTTATTATTATTATTATTATTATTATTATTATTATTATTATTATTATTATTATTTCCTTTGGTCTCTGGTGTATACTCATTTCTTTTCGGGTCCCGACCAGAGACCTAAGGTCAAAAATGTCAACATGACATTCTTTTTAAAAAAATGCACATATTATGTCCAAAAATATATGTACAAAAATAATCGTTATTATTAATGAATTTATTTCGTTATTATTATTATTATTTGCTTTTCCTCTGTGCAGTACGACATGCTCCCAAGTATCAACCGGAGACTTCAAGAGACATGTCTTTACATCAGAAGTGGCAAGCAGATGAGGTGCCATACAATCAAAAAGAAATATAGTATATCTTTTTATATCCCTCCCAGACGCACATTGATAATAATAATAATAATAATAATTATTATTATTAATATAATAATAATAATAATAATTATTATTATTACTACTACTACTACTACTACTTGTTCTATTATGTAACTGAGACCGAGAGCTATTTTCTTTGAACTGACTCTTCGGACTATACCAATTGAATATAGAATTGTAAAAGAAGATTTGGGCCTGAATGGCATTCCTCGAGTAAACGCGTCTAGTCCCGGAAGAGAAACAGAAATTGCAAAAAGGAAGGATAAAACGGAATCTTATCGAGAATGAACGAGAAGAGCAAAATAGTTTCAATCGTCAAATAAAAAAAAAAATAATGAATATTCTTGTACATTCTTTCGTCTCAAAGAGGAATCAAGGATTCCAAGAAAGTTTCAAAGGCCTAAAAGGTTTTGGGACCTTTTGTTCTAAAATTTTGATACCATGATGTTGGCAGCAGTTCCTTTCACTTAATCAAGTTTCATGGTGGAGGTTATGGATGGAGAGCAAGGTTGTTCCAACACTATAAGTGTTTAATGGGTTTTAGATCTGGGGAGTTTGATAGCCAGGACAGCATAGAAAAGTTTACTTCACATTCCTGAGACCATTCTCATATAATTATTGCAGTGGGACAGAGCACATTGTTCTGCTAAAAGAGGCTACTGGCATCATAGAAGACGGACGCCATGATGGAATGTAGATGTCGTTCAATGAGATTGGGGTATGTAGAAAACGTAAGTAGAAAGTATTTTCCAAATCGTCACGAGACATAAGTACACAAGTTTAAATATCTGGGAAGTGTTTTAACTGAGTATAGCAAATTTGACACCGAAATCCGAAGATGCATTGGAATAGTAAAAGATACATTGGAATAGTAAAAGATGCCTTCCAAATGCTAAGCAAAGAAACAGGAAAGACTGCTGAACTGCTATGTGATACCAATTTACCAATGTGACAGTGAATACTGAACAATATCCTCTCAGATGAAGAGAAAATTGGAGGCAAACAGAAATGTTATTCTACAGAAGGATAGTGAGAATGCCATGGATGGTTGTGCGTAAGCAGCAATGAATTCTTAAGGAAGATGGAAACGAACGGGACACATACTTAAAGTCAGAAAGATACAGTTGAACATTCTTGGACATATAGCGAGGAAAGAAAGCTTGGAGAAGTAGATACTCAGAGGACGAAAGTAACTGAAACAGAGGAAGGCATCGGGAGTGGAAGAGATGGTAAAAAGATCAACGTTACTAAAAACTACAAGGAATAAGAAGTTGGGGAGAACCATGATCCATCGCATCCTGAAAGGACACACACACAAACAGATATATATATATATATATATATATATATATATATATATATGTGTGTGTGTGTGTGTGTGTGTGTGTGTGTGTGTGTGTGTGGGTGCAATAGCAAAATTGTCCAATTGCTAGATTAAGCCCTGAACCGTTGTATCTTAGAAATGATTAAAGCTATCTTACTGGAATTCTCAAAGGTTTTTATAACACTACTGGATCGTACTAAGAATCTATAATTACTTTCCTAGCTTAACAGAAGAAGCGTGATGTTCACCCTTAATTAATCATAGATAAGGATCGAAAGCTCATGAAGGATTGAAATGAAGTTCAAATATATATATATTATTCCAGGATCATTTTCCAACTTATTCAAGATGATATTCGCCCTCTCTAACTTAACTTTCTGTCCTGGAGTAACAAGTTGCCCCACACGTTTCACGAACGATTTCATTTTCAACTCTTTTTTCACTGCTCTTTGGACTGTCATAGCTGAAACGCCTCTCATACGTTTTAGGGATTGAGTTGCATCTAAGTTGAAATGATGACTTCTCTTCCTGTTATGACCTCCTGATACAGTTTTCCTCTCTACTTATTGACTGTTCTCTTGATGATTCTTGAATGGTCTTTGAAGATGCAAGCCAGAGTATGAATGTTAGTCCCATTACTGAAGGTTTGAATGATTTTCCTCTCACCGTTGAGAAGACAGTGGGGCTGACACAAAAACGATTTTAACCTGTTCACTTTTTGGATTCATAACTCAAAGGGTTTTTCAGTGATTCTTACGACAAATGCTGTCAAGATGACTAAACGTCTTAACTGAAAACTCAGTTTATTGTTTTTTTTTTTAAAGATATTAAACATTTTGTGGGATTGGCACTTATGCTGTAACACGATTTGAGTAACTTTTCTGTCATACCCATTTATATATATATATATATATATATATATATATATATATATGGAGTTCTTAGTCAGAAAATTGATATTTGCAACTGTCATACTTTGTCTTACTCGATTTAATTGAACGATTATTATAGATGCTATTAATTATCGATATGACCTTTCTAGCAATAATTCTTTACACTTCTTCAGGTGTCCATTATTTTAGCTGATACGGGATATCTTGCGTTGATTATTGTATTCTTTTGGAAGTGTTAATTCGTCTTTATGATATTGATCTACTTAACTAGTATATATATTTCAGTTTAACCAGATCTAGGGATTGAATTCAGGATTTCAGAACTTTGCGATCAATTTCATGCAAAAGGTCACTTTTTATTTTATTGAATCGAGGGAAACAATTTGAGCGTTTGAAGTCACTGACAAAATGGTAACAATATTTGGATCTTTTTCTCGCACTTTGTGGGTTTCATGTTAGTAAGAGTTACAGAGAATAGGAAGTTGTGGAGAGCCATGGACGTTCATATAGGTATGCTATCAAGTTATTGTCTATTGCTCTTTTTCTGTGTTTATTCTTTCCGGTGATGAGTTTTCCTCAGTTTAAATCTGGGAAAAAGACCTTCATTTTGAATATCAAGTCGTAAACATTTTACTTGTGGAAAGGCAACAACCTCTGAGAACGTGGCGCCAGTTTCAACAAACTTTGAATAAATAAATAAATAAAGTCGATTTAATGATAATTTACGGCCGATTGCTTTTTTTCTCTCCCTTTTTTTGTTTTATCAAATTCCCGCCTTTTTGATGGGTGGCCAAATATTCTCGCCTTTTATGTCGGTGATATCGTCCTCCTTGAACAATGAAACCTTACACTGCTACATAAATGTCGCTTTTAAACTTATCAGTTAAAATGACTGTCGGATATTTAAGAGAAACCTCTGTTTGATGGGCCGTAGTGATAACGGTTAGGCTAAATCCAGTGCGTTGGTTTATGGAGTGTTTTGTGTGTTTGGGTCTTTGAAGATAGACGGGAAGAAGGAGTGAAAGAAAAATGAGATAGAGAGAACAGCGAGAGAGAGAGAGAGAGAGAGAGAGGGGGAAGGGAAAAGGGAGAGTGCGAAAGAGAAAGAGGTAAAAAAGAGAGAGCGGGTATAATAGAGAGAGTATAATAGTCAGAGATATAAGGGAAACGTGTAAGAAAGAGAGAAAGAAAGATAAAAGAGAAGAGAAGGGGAAGAAAGAAAAAAAGAATATGAAAGGAGTATCAGAAAGAGAGCGACTGCGGGCCAAATGTATGTAATCAAGAGAGAGAGAGAGATCGGAGAAACTCGAAAGAGAGAGAGACACAGAGAGAGAGAGAGAGAGAGAGAGGGAGAGAGAGAGCATGAATAAAGTAAAGTGCATAAGAGAATAGGAGAAAGCGTGCAATGTAAGTAATATGAGAGAAGGTAGGAATTCGCGAGAGAGAAAGAGAGAGAGAGAGAGAGAGAAAGAGGGAAAGAGATAAACAAAGGGGAGGGGAAGAGTGAGAGAAAACGGACGATGGAAAGAACATGAGATAACTATGTACGCACGTGCAGAGTATTCATCTCATGTTTTCATGGAACAATGACAGTGCTTCAACTCAGTCAACGCCAGGAAGGCTGAAGAGTCTACGGCCGAAGACATAGTTATTGAAATACAGAAAGAAATAAAAGAATTTACTGTATATTGACAATAATTACTTCCATAAAGTTACTGACATTATTTATATAGGGTGTTCCCATAATTTGGACCGATTTTAAATGTGAATTAAGTTTAAGCGTCTAATGATTTTTTTTTTCTTTTTCTTTCAGATTTAACAACTTAAATCTTTGGAAATTTCAACCATAGAAAGATTAACAATCAATCAATTAAGATTAAATTCATCAAGGAAGGCACCGTAGTTTTTTCTAGCCCAAGTACTTTTGTTCTTTTTCGGGGTTATCCTCAGGGGTAAATTACAAACACAAACTTATTGTAACTATGTAAAAATCTGCATTCCGTTTGAATGCGGATTTTTCAAAAACACACGTGAACGAGCTTCGTTATTTTAAAATTTGAATTTATCTGCCGTAATTATGGACTTTTTTGCAAAACAAACGTTTCAGTATAAGGGAGCTGACGGAACATTCGTAGAAATACAACGTGACATTAAATGTTTGTTATATGCACTTTAATATATTGCTACTATACTCGTTCTAAATTTTGTTTAGTGTTGGTTTGTTGATTTCGATATAGAGGGCCTCGGGAATTTGAAGTTTTTGTTTATTACTTTGCAGGTGTAGTATATTATAAGAAACGTGGATAATCTTCCTTTACTATCATGTGTGTGTGTATGCGTGAGAGAGAGAGAGAGAGAGAGAGAGGGCGAGAGGAAGAGAGAGAGAGAACGATATATATATTTATATATCAAGAACAGTATTGGGGAAATTGTTAGAGAAAATTGAAAAAGTTTATTTTATATATTATTATATTTGATCTCATGTTTTCATGGAACAATGACATTGCTTCAACTCAGACAACGCCAGGCAGGCTGAAAAGTCTACAGCCGAAAACATAGTTACTGAAATACAGAAAGAAATAAAAGAATATATATTTTTGGTATGTCATCGTACTGGGTTTGTTGACGTTGTTTTGTGTGCGTAGTCAAAACAACGTCAACAATCTCATTCCAAACGGATTAAACGTGTCACAAGTAAACTTTTTTTCCATTTTGCCTTACAATTTCTCCAATATATAATCGAGATTACCGGTAAATCCTGTCCCCCAAATATAACTGGACTAAAGATGACGATTCCAGACAACGGAAATAAATCTACAAGACATGCCTGGGAAGCCAATTCGATTTCCACGGCTTGTCAACCCTTTACAAGGTATTTAAAACCAAAACATTTTTAGAATATAAGAATTCTTATTTGGGAGATAATAATAATTTATTATTACAATTAAAGCTAACTAACCCATTGATGGTAGGGAGAAGAACTGTGTACATACCTGATCAGAAATTGATATATAATGTGGATATAAAGTGGGGGATCAATTTTATATTACAATCAATATATAAACTGATCCCTCAATTTGTAGCCACAGTAGTTTCTATACATTTATATTCCAGAGAATGTAAATCAATCTACAAGACATTCATGTGAAGACAATGCGTATTTCATTGATGCCTTCCAAAAGCTAAGCAAAGTATCGTTTTTTACGGCTTATCAACCATTTGAAGGTTATTTAAAGACAAAAAAATTTGACTGTAAGAACAGGGAGATAATAATAATTTAGGGATACAGGTCTTACGAATTAACTTATAGGTGAGGTGGATGTATAATTTTTTCCAAGTGTATTCTGCGTGTAAGCGAATATAATGAACCCAACTGGAGTTGAAACTCGGCTCTTCGATTAACAATTCTGAATCATTATCCTTTACACCACCCCCACATGGCAAGAGAGAGAGAGAGAGAGAGAGTTTCCCCAATATATAATCGAGATTATATATTGATTAAGATCAATCGGAGATAAGTTTAAATAATTGCCGTTGTTTGATTTCAAAGGAAGAAATATGGCAAGGAGTTCCACGTTATTTTCCGGTAACATGGTGGTCGACTGGGCCCAACAAAGTATAAGACATTTTGTTCAGGGGCTCCTTGCTAGATGAAGAAAAGACTTGAAGCTATCTAAATATGTTTCTACAGAAGGATACTGAGAATACCTGAAACATAACGTGTGTGCAAGGAGGAAGATTTAGAGAAAACTTAAACAAAATGAACGCTTAAATTTATAATCAAAATTTGCAATTTCTAGGTCACATAATAAAGAAAGAGGACATGAAGAATTTGACACTCACAAAACATATTGAATGCAAGGGAGACTGAGGAAATCAATGAGTAACCTACTAAACGATCGTGTGTATTTTTTTTTTTTTTTTTATTAAGGTTCACTCTGTAAAAGGCCGGAGGTCACTCGAGGTAGAAGGTTACATTAAAAGGCAGTTTATAAAAGGAAGGGAAGATAACGGTTAACTCTAGACTTCAAAAGGTTAAGATTATAGTGATCGGGAAACATCCCTCTGGGAATCGGTCTCACAGAAGCTGTTCAAGTGGAACTTACTCCCCCCCCCGATTGAATATGGACAGAATGTGAGTGATTCGCTACAATGTGGGTATAATGGTGGGTCCTTGCCGTGGAGGTTAGAACTGGCGCTACCAAGGAATGTAGTTCGTCCGAGCACTTTCCATGGAAGTAACGAGCAGTGAGAGGATCGCCTCATCCCTCCTGAGAGAGAGAGAGAGAGAGAGAGAGAGAGAGAGAGAGAGAGAGAGAGAGTTTGGAGGTGGGGGAAATAATTTGTCACCCACAAGGACTCGCGGACGCTTTTGAAATCTATCGAAACTCGAAAATGAGGATTGGGTAGCTCCCGCCCAAATATGGCAAACATACTCCATTTTCGACCTGATCTGGCAGTTGTAAAGGTGAAGGATATCAGGAGGAGTCAGGTATTTTCTGGAGCGTTAAAGGGAGTCGACCATTTTTTCTGTAGAACAGAGATAGCAAAAATACAATCATACTAAGAAATAAAAATATAGGAAGTAATGGAGAGTCATGTTTGCCCAAGTTCTGAAGCGACGTGAAACACAGAAGACAAAGAATCCAACAGTATAACTGGAGAGATCATAGTTGATTTCCAGGAGCCTTCGCAGACATTTTAATGTGAGTGTTTTGACATTGATTAAGATCATTCGGCGGAGATAAGTTTAAATAATTGCCGTTGTTTGATTTCAAGGGAAGAAATATAGCAAGGAGTTCCACGTTATTTTCCGGTAACATGGTGGTCGACTGGGCCCAACAAAGTATAAGACATTTTGTTCATGATGAATGCAAGAGTAAGAATGCCAAAAGAAAGTGGCATTGATTTGAGATTTCATCGCCTCGGCAGATATGTACTCATGCTTGAGGAGTTCAGCTGTCCTTTATACGTGTGATCGTTAATCAAACTACTTAAATTGGATTACCCAGTCTAAACATGGAGTTGCCGGAAAACGGCATAGCGTAAGATGCTTTGATATATTTCTGAAATTGGCATCAAAATTGCCGGACACATTCACAATTTGAGGATTGATTTTGATTGGTTGATTTTGTTTAGTGGCATATCAACACCTCTATGCGTTATTTAATGCTGTACATTGCGTAATGCGTTATTTAATTTTGTACGTAATATTATGCTTTCAACTAGAGATATTTTGTACATTATTTTATATTTTCAGAGTAACAGGTATGTTCTTTTAGATATATTGTTTGCCATATTCACAATGTTTCGGCCGTTGCTCGCTCAGGCATCTGTACGATCTAGAAAGTTAAGCAACGGTGACCGCTTGGGAATAGCAAGCTTGGATGTGCGGGTGGTGTAAAGGATAATGGTTCGGGACTATTAATCGGAGAGCCGAGTTTCAATTCCAGTTGGGTTCATTATATTCACTTATACGCAGAATACACATGGAAAAGAGTATGATGAGCATAACATTTCAAATAATGTAAATAATGTAAGTAATTATAATACCTCATCTCAGATATAGAGGCTGGAACGTTGTGAATGAAGATGAGGATAACAGTCGGAATAATGTAAATAATTTAAATAATCAGAATAAATAAATAATTTAAGTAATCAGAATACCTCATCTCAAAGATATAGATGCTGGAACGCTGTTAATATGGCAATGAAGATCAGGTTAACAGTCCGAATAATGTAAATAATGTAAGTAATCATAATATCTCATCTCAGAGATATAGACAGATATGAAAAAAGTCATAAATCGATATGAGCTGTATAAAAAAATGGATGATTTTTAAAAACTAGAGACAAGTCAGACAGATGGAAAGATGCTTTTAAGAAAACTTCTGAACCCGCCGATTAATAACGACAATAAATTATCTGAGACATTTGAACAATTTAAGTCTATTACTCATGGGAGTAAACGAAAAAAAAATAAGATGAAAGAAAAACTAATCAAAAACTGATAATAATTGATAATATTTCATCTAGGAAATTCCAGTGACTTTTTAACTATTACTTGGTGTAAAAATGAGAAAAATAAGATAAAAGAAATAGTAATCAAAATTAATAAGAATCAATACTAAGAAATACTAAACTCACAATTCAATACATTATTTACATTATTGTTCTCATCTTTGTCGCCATATTTATTACAACGTTTCGGCTGTTGTGCGCTCCGGCGTTCTTCAGTCCTCAAGGACACATACCACAGTCGATAAAGACGTTAGTTAAATCCATGACAGGACCCAAAGTGTGTGAGTTCAATACCCGGTTAAAGCAGTGGAGAACTTGGAGAGGGGAATTAACAGGAGATAACTGAAATCTGACATCCATTAAACATGGCATGTGGAACTAGAACAGTCTACCCCAGTGAGCGAAATAAAGGGTTCAGTTCGACATTCCAACCACCTGAAGAAGGCCGAAGCGTACAACAGCCGAAACATTGTAATTAATATATGGAGACAAAGATGAGGACAATAGTCCGAATAATGTAAATAATGTACATAATACCTCATCTCAGAAATATAGATAGATACTCACAATTAAATTGTAATTGACCTATCAAAACAAGCTTTCTAACCATCACACCACATCGAAG